TGTGAGTGAGTGTGTGACAGTGTGCATTTGTGAGTGAGTGTGCGTGCATCTGTGAGGGAGTGTGCGTCTGTGAGTGTGCATGTGTCTGAGTGAGTGTGCATCTGTGAGGGTGAGTGTGTGCGCGCGTGTCTGACTGAGTGAGTGAGTGAGTCAGCTCATGTACATGTACAGCATACACAGTGGGGGACAATGAATGATCCACCCACACCTCCCCCCCAACCCCCACACTCCCCCACGCCAAACATACTCACAGCTGAACAGTCACACACTCCTCGGTCTGAAAGCTTTACTCCTTGGGGATCTGTGGTCCCAGTACAGTCACAGCTGGATCACACACAAAATGGGTGATGGGGGTGTGGGAAAAGGAGTGGGGGTTGGTGGGAGGGCGGTGAGGGATTTACAACAACAGACTCACACCCACCTCCCGCCCAACCCGACCCCCTCCTGAGTCCGGTAGCGACCCCGGGGAGGACAGACATGAGTGGCTATAAGTGACAGACTCTGGACCCAGGGTCAAGTCACACATGTGGTTCCATCCCCTGACCCTTCCTGCTGCCTTCCCTCTCCCTCCCCCTCCCTCTCCCCCTCGGCCTGTCGCTGACGCATCAGCCATTCCTTGTGTCGGCGTGTCTTGGGTCGCTCGAAGTTAACCACTGACATGGGCATCCGAACCGTATCGATGCCATTCACCTGCGGAAGGGGCACAGAGAGAGAGCAGACGGGTTGGCAGATAAGTCATAACACCAGCTTCCATTCCCCTCCCACCCCAGGCCATGTACCCACCCTGCTACACAGCATCATCCCACAACTTAGAGACAGCATTACTTCCACTGGAACAGAGTAGAGTGAGTGTTACTCTCACTATAAAAGGGTAGAAATATATTTACATTTAAGTTTACTTCTAATTTAAATGGATAAATGCAGCTTTATTCTGTATCTAACCCCATGCTGTCCCTGTCCCTGGGAATGTTTGATGGAGGGGACGGTGTAGAGGGAGCTTTACTCTGTATCTAACCCTGTGCTGTCCCTGTCCTG